TTCATTATTGATAAAGGAAGATCGCAGAAGAGTAGACCAACCTTAGCTCCTGGAATCGGTTTGAATCTCATCCTATTCGTATATCTCTTCGTCGGCTGCAAATCGCCTAGATCACGGCACATTTCTGAGTACGAATAGTGCTTAAGGTCGAGCACGGTGTACAGGCCTTTGATCAGCAGTTTGGCGATGAACTTCAAAACCACGCGACAGCTCAGAATTATCACAACACCTAAAAGGGTGGGCTTCAGAATTTGAACTGAAATTCAAAGTAGATAAAGCTGTCTAACAAAGCTCACCTAGGAAGAATCTTAGGAAATACAAATAGACAGGGGCATTGGGATCCTCTTCTGCCAAGCTGATCGACGGCAATGTCCCTGCAAGATGAAAATTCGTTTCTCGCGCGCAAACGCAAATCGCATCCCACGTACCGATAGCACCATATTAACTGAAAATGGAATTTGTGATGGAAAGATAGAGCAATGGAGAAAAACGTAGAGGGAAAATGATCACACTCCATAACACTGCGTCCCAAAAGTATACTTCCACCCATAAATCTCACAATATCCCTCCCTACACGACGTTTTCAAAAAAAGCCTCTAGGTATAAAATGTGGTAATTACCAGTACCAATTTGCATGCCAACTCCGAGAACTGACTTTCCAGAGCAACTTCAACTTTCTTTATACTTCCACCGCATATTTTCCCATTGCGTCTCATTGTTTTTCGGGAAAGTTTCTCATCATCACTACCTTTGACCTTTTCCCAGGAAGAGTTCTGGGTGTCCTGCTTTGCTGTCTGAACGAGATAAACGTCGTATCTTGAAAGAAGCGTCCAACTCCACGATGTCATGCAGGGAAATAAAGTCATCTCTGAACGACGGTTTAGCTGCCTGAGTCATATGTGTCGGAAAATTCTCGGTTTGGTCGTCCTTGAAGAAGTCAGAGTTCATCATCAGAGAGAAAATGAGGAAGGCACCGTTCCTGACAGAACGCCATCGCGAAAACCGACTCGCCTTTGCTAGAAGATGCTGCCGAACCGACTGGAGCAAGGTTAGCTTTCGGCTGCGGTGCCCCTGCTGTCTTTTCAGTTTTCAGTTTTTTTTTTTTCTTTTGGTCGTGTTTTTCGATGAGAAGAAATTCAACTGCGATGGCCCAGATGGAAATCGATTTTACTGGCACATCTGAGGAAAGATAAGCTCAATTTTCTCCAATTTTTCGAGGCGGAACTTCAGAGGGGGTGGTGTCATGGTCTGGGCTGCGATCGCATCAACGGGACGTTTGAAGCTGTGCTTCGTATCGAAGAAAATGAACTCTTCCGACTACGTAGAGTAATGCGACGAGGTCTGTTACCTTTCTGGCGAAGGATACGGCATGAAAGTCCTGTATTCGTGCAATGATAAGCCGCAATCATGTCAGCCCGGAGCCCTGCGGAGCGTGGTTCAGTCGCCGTCGTCAAGGATCACTCTTTTGCCCTGGCAGCGATAGCCAGACTACAACCCTATCGAGAATGTTTGGGGGCTTCATGGTACGCAGGATATACGCGCACAATGCGCGATTCGAAAATGTCCGTTCGCTCAAGGAGGCTATCATTGATGCATGGCACCATGTCGACAAAACACTTATAGACCACCTCTATTCGAGCATGGACAACCGCATTTTCGAACTTATTCGAAAGAATGGGGCTGCAATAGATTATTGAAATGACGATTTATTAAATTTGTTGTACACTTGTTGTTTTCTGAATCGATTCGTTTAGTGGAAGTATACTTGTGGGACATTGTCAGAGTGAGAAATTTTCAAAAAATAAAGAAAGTTGAAGTTGCTCTGGAAAGTCAGTTCTCGGAGTTGGCATGCAAATTGGTACTGGTAATTACCACATTTTATACCTAGAGGCTTTTTTGAAAACGTCGTGTAGGGAGGGATATTGTGAGATTTATGGGTGGAGGTATACTTTTGGGACGCAGTGTACTAGCATTCAAATAAAGCTGGAACTGTAGAAGTACTTGACTCTCTTGGACCTGTACGATAACTCAGAATGAGGCAGCTGATGTACAAGCCAGCGCCTCCATTCGTGCCGGACAACGATCAGTGCTTCTCCTCTAGAAAGAGCTTTGGAACTTAAGCCGTCCCAGGGTAAAGGCTTGTTGGCCCTGGAGGGAGCCGTTCAAGACTCGAAACGACCGCCGCGCTGGTGGACAGGCATTACCACTACACCACCTCCGTCTCTTGGGCAACTACAATACTATGTAGTGAACGTACTACACAATGGGTGGGAGGGCTAGACTGCTTTGTCATCCCGAAAGAGAGTGGATCTCGTTGTGTCAGTTAGTGGAGGGGGGGGGGGGGGGGGAGAAGGATTCCGATCTTTTATGTGGATGCGGGGAGTCTCAGCGCCTTTTGCCGGAGGTAGGCTTCTCAAGCGCGGATAACCAACCACGATACCGATCAGGCTCAGTTGCGCCGGACCTAAAGTTTTTTATGACACCTCGTACGGCCAGGACCCCCAGCGAGGGGGTTGATCTCAAGTCGCTAGATGGGCTTATAATTATTGAGAAAGATGGGTCGCATTTGCGTTTGTAAAAAAGTACTTCGCCTGAAGACTCTTCCCCGCTTTTCCCCGTTCCACAAGCGCTAGATGACTCCCTTACTGCCTCCCGCGACCCCCCCTCCGAGAGACCATAGGTAAAATGGGGATGGGGAAGTCGGAGGATAGTACAAAAGAGGGAAATCTTGAAAGGAGTCGTTTGCCAAATTTTTCCCAAAGGCAGGACTTGTCTCTGCATGGGATTGACTTCGCAAGACGGTGGGCGTACTGAGCAATGGCCCACTGCCTCCACCTTCGACCCTAATGTGCTCAAGAGTAGGCAGCATGCCAGAAGAATTCTAAACAAGGCGACAAATTTCAGCCTTTATTTTACCTCTTCTAGGATTCGACAAGTTAGAGAAGGAAGTTTTGTTGTGGACAGGCGGTGTGACAAGAAAGAGGTCAAGACGGGATATGTAGGATGGACGAGTTCGGCCGGATTAGTTATATGCAAATCAAAGCGCCTTAAATTCCCAAGGGTCTGATGAAAGGCATTCCACAACCGTATACAGCGGATACAAAGATAAGTATCTCGAAAAAGGAATTTGAAGTCCACGTACTTCGTTGCATTAACTCTGCGTGTCTCTGGCCAGAGCTCTGGATGAAATCCACAGTAAGGATGTAGGACGAAGGTGTAGAAATAGGCGAAGAATGAAAGGTCGTCACGAGAACTGGCCTCATACGCATCATAAAGCTTATCAGAAAACCCTCCTGCAAATAGAAGAATGACCTTTAAATTCGTTGAAGCGCAAAATCACCGACTGAAACCGTCCGGCTGACAGCCGTCAGTGCACTTTGCACTTACCAGACAGACATCTATCGATAGAAACGCCCTATCACCTACCGAATATGAAGAGCAGTAGTACGCCTATGGTCCATCCGCCTAGCACATCACATGGAGAATGAACACCCAGATACACGCGAGACCAGCTCACACCACAATTCCCTGAAGACAACTTGACGTCACTCGTGTGCACTCTGCCCCAGTTCACATAACATTCCTCGTTATTAGTGAGAACGGGTGCAGTTCGGCGACGGGGGGGGGCATATTGTACTTTCGTTGCTTCACTAGTTCCGACAAGTCTTACTTTGGTGAACCCTGTGAACTCTTGTGAAACTGGAGCAAGTCGTCAAGCCATCATGGTAAAACATGTCAACTCTAGAAGAAGGCAAGACTATGTCAACGGTCTAGAGACAGGCTATTCTAGAATGGGTCGCTGACATCGACGGGTAGGCAGCAAAAGTGGGCAAAATGCCACCTCCGTACCGCAAATGCGGCCGTGAGAACGTCCCGTTTTGAGTGACTGCCTAACGCTCACCCATTATATTAAGCTACGCATAGGGAACACCATAAGAAAAAAATGGCGGAAGCGGAATCCACAGCACGAACACAAGTGAATAGAGCAAGTAGTCGGACTTGAATCGCAGCTAAAGCTGGAGGGAAAGAGGGGGGGTGGAAGGTTCTCTCGACAACGCTTTTGTGTCTCTTACCGTCACGAAGGCGGAGACTGCCTCCTCTGTGAGAGTATCCTCGGCCAGAAATCTACGCTCTTATGCTAAGCCTTGGATCAGGAAAGAAGAGCGGCCAAGTGCTCCACCCTCTCCAACCTCGACGCCCCTTTCCTACTCTATATAATCCGCTAAGTATGTCTGTAAGTGTGTGTGTGTGTATGTTTGTGTGTGCGTCTGTCTGTGTGTCACGAAATTCATAGCGCCGGTCCCAGTAACAGTGAGCATTTGATTCCAAGAAGTGTAGGCGGTGTGACGGGAACACAATTGGTGGGTGACAGGAAGTGATATCAGCTGATAAGATACGATAAGAGGCGTTAGAAGGGGGGTCACCATATTCATAACGCGGGTGACAGCAGCAGTGGGACGTTGGTTCCGAGCAGTGAAATAGGGGGTGGGACGAAAACATTATTGGTAGGTGACAGGATGTGATATCAGCTGATAAGATCTGATAATGGGCATTAGAAGGGAAGGACTACCAAATTCACAGTGCGGCTCACAGGAACAGTGGGTCCTTGGATCCGAGAGGTGATATAGGGTGTGGGACGGGAACATCATTGGCGGGCGACAGAAAGTGATAACAGTTGATAAGATACGATAAGCAGCTTCGGAACGGAAGGGTCATCAAATTCGTATCGCAGGCTACAGTAACAGTGGGACCTCAGATACGTGAGGTGATATAGGGTGTGGGACGGGAACATATTGGCGGGTGACAGAAAGTGATAACAGTTGATAGTAACGATTATAGCGGCTTGGAAGGGAAGGGTCATCAAATTCGTAACGCAGGTTACAGCAACAGTGGGACCTCGGATCCGAGAGGCGATACAGGGTGATATGATAGTGATACGGGACGGGAGTGTTATTGGCGGGTACGGAAGTGATAGGAGCTAAAAGTGACAAGGTAACATGGGAAAATCCGTTACACCCGCTACCAAAACAAATTGCGATCGAATTAGTGACTCAAGTATAACGATCTCAATGATTCAACAGAACTCAATCCTCCCTGCTTATTAGTAATGGTATCATGTACGACCGCTAAGCTAGCTCTATTCATGCATGGGGTTTGTTTATAGAGATTATGAACAGCATCAATTCACTTAATCACGCTTACCACAATTATCTTCCATCAACAACCTTAGTGAGGGCCATTTAACGCGTTCCACTGCTGAATGCGGGAGTGCATTCCAAAGCAAGACGCTTTAAGGCGACAGAATGCTGTTGTGTGTGGAGCGTGCGTCAAGGTGAGCGGGGCCAGCCTCAAAAATTCTTCAAGCGATTCCAGAGCACTCCAAGCATTTCGGACCTCTATGTGACACGGCCCGGCTTTGCGGGGCGTGGCTCCATCGCGC